CAGAGAGTAAGGTTATTTATTAAGTTCCTTATTTTATAATCAGCCTTAGTCGCATTATAGAGCTTACATGCTCATCAAAACATGCACACAGAGACATAGATAGAGTTAATGATGTAAGGAATAAAGCAAAAGCCAAAGCTCATTATGAGAAGAAATACTCCAACCTTACATATGGCTCTATAACAGGGGCCATTTACACATTGCCAAAAAAATAGAAATATATCACCAAAAATTGGGACGGTGAGAGAGAAAATGATGCAGGAAACAGAGGTCAGAGCTTGAGTAAATTTAGCCAAACTGGGAAATAATTTATACAGTTCACAAATGGCCTCCCAACTATTTCATACCTCCATTTGTATCTGAATCCTAATTTTAACCTTATCACTTAGCCAAGACTCTTACTCTGCCAATATATCCCTGTGCAAAAAAAAAAAATTGTACTTCATCACAAATTTATACGTGCAGTGGAAATATGGCAACTTTTTTTTTTTTTTTGCAGCTCTGTTTCTTTTTTTCCTGGCAATCAAGAGAGGACGTAGAGGGACAGGATGTGGCTTTACTCAATTGCAAGCATTCTACATTACAGCAATAACTTGTCAGTTTCTTCTAGAAACTGTCAGCACGATGGTATGTGTTTGGTCACATCGTTGAGAAGTTTTAAGTAAAAAGATCATATGCAAAGTAAAATACTGCAGATGTGGTTTTGTATTCCTTGAAACCCAGGGCCAGCCCTCATCGTGGGTTTGGTTGCAGAGTTATTTTCAGAACAAGCCTGCATCTGAGCCTGACTTATGTGTGCTTATGGGGTGGGTGGGTGGGTGGGGGGGTGAGGAACACTTACAAAGATTTGTGTCTGCTGCTTCAAGATGTGAAGTCGAGAGACCATACGCCATAAAGCCACCGTGTGCTGCAGCTATCTTGGAGTGAATGCTCAAATCAATGTGACGGATGGAGCATTTCTTCATTTTGGACCATTCTTGTTTTATGGCCTACATATAAGCCTCACCTGGGCTTTCTGCAACCCATTCAGAAAGAAACCCCTGATTTGCTCTTTCAGCAGTGCTCTTCAAGATAACGCACCCAGGACAATTGCTATCATTTGCCATCGAGACTTCATCAGAACTAGTTGTCAGCTCCTCAGCTCTCAAATCTGAACTGTAAGCAGAGGGGAAGAAGCTATTTAATCTCTGCTGCCAAGAGTCCAGACTTCCAGAAGTCCCTAAAGAGGAGTGACTGCATCTGAAATGCTGTAACTCAGTCCTGGTTGGGAATTCTGGGAATTGAAGTCCACACATCTTAAAAGTTGTCATGGTTGAAAAACCATGTTGTAGCTATTCTTACACCTGGGACCTTTAAGCACTTTAATACCAGATTTTTCTTTTTAGCCATGACATTACACTGCCCTTAATTTCTATCAAAGTCCACCTTCCCTTACGCCTCCTTTTTTTTTTTGTTCTGACCTAGTTATACTGCTTAAATCTTAACATGTTCCTCTTAGCCAAAGGGGAAACATGGCGCCCACTATTACAATGAAACGACCATTTTGAACAGTAGTCTAGGATAGACAGCAAATGAGAGTGCAATCCTGTTGCTCCACTGCCCAGAGCTGTGGCTGTGTAGCACTGAGGGCACATGGCTCTTCATAGTGGATCACTGCCCATGCTGGCCTTGGGAACTTTCTCTCAGTGATGTTGATAGGGTGACCGGCAAATTGACAAGCTGGAGACTGAGTGACTATATTACTAGCAGGTGGGAAGGGGCATATAGGAGGGGCTGGCAGGTCCTTCTACTGCCTCAAGTTGTAGATCCCCTGCAAGGTTGGTGTCCATTCACGTTCTAGAAGGAGTACGCCTTCCAGCAACCTTGTCATTTGCTATGATGGTAGGACTGACAGGGACTGTCCTTGTGACAGTTGGAAGTTGGCGAGGAGGAGGAGGAGGAGGAGGAGGAGGAGGAGGAGGAGGAGGAGGAGGAGGAACCCAGATCATCCAAGCAGGATGGCATGTCTCCCCAAGAATGTCCAGAGAGCCTGGGGACTGAGGATGACATAGTCACAGGGCTGTCTGGCCTTGGGAGCAGCAGTCAATCAGATGGGGAGCTGCCTGCCCTAATGAGAGCTGCAGAGGATTGGCTGCTAACCGTCAGCAGCAATGAAAGGCAACTGATCCTGTCCAATGAGGAACAGCTCCCCACCTGATCCGTGGGTGCAGAGAGTGGAGCAGAGGGAAGCCTAGAGAAGGTCAGAGAGGCTGCTCATGAGGAAGCAGTGCCGCCCCTCCCCTCAGGGCACACCTGGGGGTGATTTAGCCAAACACTGGAGGAAGGTGTGTTTTGTCAGGAGCAACCATTTGCTTCGGTGCGGACTTTCCTGGTTCAGGTTTTGGCTTTGTGGACTCTGAATCTTTTTGTGTACTTTGGACCTGGCTTTGTGGACTCTGAACGTTGTTTGCAAACTTTGGACTTCCTCTGATTTGTGGGAATAGGTTGCATTGACTGTGGGTGGCTGCCTTTGGGGAAAATTGGGGTGAAGCTTTACTGGCACCATTGGAGGACCATTTGTCATGGTAGCTGGGCAATAAACAGACTATACCTATACCTGTCAGTGGGACCTGGGTCAGAAGAACCCTTCAAAATTTATCATACTAGCATTTTTGAAGGAAACTGCAAGACAAAACAGTTCCCTGAAGGAAAACTCAAAGGTAGCAGGGAAGATACTTCCTGGAACCTTCTCCAGCACTGCCTATCCATCTTTATCTTTCTCCAATCTTTCAAGGCTGTGGTGGCACTGTGGGCAGAATGCAGTCTCATAGCTAACTCTGCCCACTGCTAGCAGTTCAATCCTCACTGGCTCAAGGTTGATTCAGCCTTCCATCCTTCCGAGGTTAGTAAAAATGAGGACCCAGATTGTTGGGGACAATATGCTGACTTTGTAAACTGCATAGAGAAGGCTGTAAAGCACTGCAAAGAGGTATATAAGTCTAAGTGGTAATACTATTGCTATTTCTGGAGGAGGAGTTAACCAGGGAAGAATGCAGTGGCAGCAGTTGCAAATATTTATTCTCAGATCCATTCTCTCTGGGCACTGCGGTGAATCTGGCCGCAGATGTTGCCAAGAGAGTGCGCAAGCAACTGTGTCCATTCATTTGTTCTGTTGAACTGGATGACGTAACCCTTTCATCCTCCCACTCACTGATCTGAGATCTCCCTCCAGGTACCATAGTAATGGTGATTCTATCCAATTAATTTAATAGCCTCCACCATTGCATCCAGAAAAAAAGGGGTTAAGTGAGAGAGGCAGCAATTGCTCCACCACATTTTCATGATTACTCTGCCTTTCTTTTCTCCTGGCAGCCAAAACTGAGCAAGTGATTGCAAAGAGTCTCTGTAATTGCTCACCTGCCTACTCCAATTGCTACCTGCTTGCTTCAATTGCTGATATCCTCTCTTTGACCAATGCAGCAGGAAAGATTGGTGGGTTTAGCAAGGGCATCCAGCAGGAAAGAGATGGGGAGCCAAAGGAAGTGGTGGCTTAAGTAGAGACCCACCTTGAAAAAATCATCCATGAACAATGAAACATTTTTTATGTATCTAGCTGGAAAATGTTGGGTTACTCTCTTTAGAGTCTTGGATGATCTTATCTCCCTTAGTATACCTGTACTTCCTTTTGGCAATGTTGTCCACTTTATTCCGCGGGAATGTGGAATGTGGGCCTGCATGTTTACATGCCCGCACATGTGAACTCAAATTCCAATTTGAGTTAAGAGGGTGCTAGGTTTACCCATGATATCTGTTCTCATTTTAAATGTTCATATTCAGGAAATACAATATTTGGTAGTTCCAGCTAAGCTATGAACTGTTTTGGAGTACAGGACACAGAATAATCTGTTTAAGTTAGAGAAAGGCAGTGTGTACCTGAAAGAGTGAAAAAAAATCCTAACAATACAATTAGTACATCAAAGAAACCAATGATTGCTAAACAAGCATGTCAGAGATGTTTAATTTGGACTCCTGTACTTAGCTGGGGGCGTTGGACCTAAGACTCTGCAACTTTACCTCTCTCTCAAATATATGGTGTAGAGAAGGCTATCAGTGGGGTGCAAGTCAATAAAAGCCTTTTATTTTCATTATAACCTTGTAATCTCTCTAAAGGAGGGGTCCTCAACCTGTGGGCTGTGGGCTGTGGCCCACAGCCTGATCGCAACCAACCCACGCAAGTGGTGGGCAGCACACATGCAGCCCAGTCGCTCGAGAGGTGAGCGCTGGCACTCACAGCCCCACTTGTCTGAGCAGCAGGCACACATCCCCGCCTCTCACACAAAACCATCCACTCTTTCCCCCCTCCCTGCACCGGGCCACCGACCTGGAAAAGTTGGGGAATGCTGCTCTAAGGAATTACAGGTGATAATAGCAAATATTATCCTCGTTTTTTAAAAAATCAATTTATAAATTTCCTTATTCAATTCCTGCTTCTGCTCCTGAGACCAAAGCATCCCCACTTTACATATTAATAGGCTATGCCAGTGATGGCGAACCTATGGCACGTGTGCCAGAGGCGGCACTCAGAGCTCCAGACTCACCTTCCCCCATGGCCCCCTCCTCACCAGCAACCCCCCGGAGGAGAGTTGCCCCCGGGCAGGGCCCACATCGAGCAGCACAGCCAAGCACATGGCAGCCAGGCAGCAGGGACAAGATTCCACCCTCATGCCCCATTGCGCACAGATATGCTGTGGGGCATGGACAGAGGGCATGGCCGCCATGGCGCTGCTGAGCTGCCTGGGTGATCTGCTGTGGTGGGCCGTGGAGGCGGTGGGTGGCCCTACGGGCAGGGCGGGGGCGGATCAGGGGGTGGAAGGAGGGTGGGGCAGTTTTGGGGCACTCGGTCTCTAAAAGGTTCACCATCACTGGGCTATGCAATTTACAGGGACACTTTTGCAGTTTTAAAAGCTGCGTTTCCCTCTTTTGTTCTAGTGCACTATTAGAAATGACAACCAAGTCCGAACCTGTGCATCTTCATATGTGTACCTCCCGGGGTCTTTGACGTTTTGGCTTGTTATTTCATAGCTGTGAGAGTCCAGGTTGATGGCACTCTGGGCCCCGGGAGCAAGGAACTCCTGCCAGATGTCTTCTACTCGGGTCGCGACATCTTGCAGCGTTTGTTTTTTGAGATCCTGGACAGCCAGCCAAAACCTGCATGGAGGCAACGAAGAAAGAAAATGTATCCCAGGAACGTGAGTCAGCTGCACCGCCAAGATTCAGGTTAATTTTAGCTCAGTTTTTTTTTTACAGCCAATATTCAACTGATATCCAAATAACCATTGCCGGACCCATTGCCATATTGTGATTTCTGAGTGATTCTGAAAGAAAGAAAAAAAATCACACTTCACAGCCTCTCCTTCAACTCCCAGAATTCCTCAGCCAGCTTTGAAGTCCACAAGTCTTAAAGTTGCCAAGGTTGAGGACCCCTGATGTAGAGACACTGCGAAATTAGAAACAGGAAATTGAGTTCCTTTGTAGACAAAATATTGTCTACAATACTCCTGATATGCTTAGTAAGAACAAACTGAAATATAGTCTCCCCACCTCCTCCTTCCAGCGAGTATCTTGTGTCAAATCCCAGAGTAATCAACCAAGAGAAGGAATTCTTTCAGGCATAAATTAGTCGGTCTGGCTCAAACTCAGTCTAATATTTTTAACATTGCTTATGTTTAAGATCACTTGGGCTTAATCCTATGTTATTCTACTTAGGCAAAGGCAGTTTAAAAGAAAAACTCTTCACCAGAGAAATATCATAGCCAGAGGATTCTGATTGATTGATTGATTATGTGCCATCAAGTTGTCAACTCTCAGTGACCGTATAGTTTTTTGCCCTGATGATCTGTCTCTAAACTGGTATTGAAGATATGTGGTGCCAGTCTGCTAGATTTTTGCAGATAACTATCCTACACAATTGTGGGTTGTTGTTTTTTTTGCTGTTTGTTGAATGCATTACTCACAAAAGTTTTACATTAGATATTGTCTTTTTTTTTTTTTTTTGGTTCCCAAGGAAGTGTTTCAACAGGAGCATGCACAAAGCCATACTGACACCTAGTGGTCATTCACAGCAACTGGTCCTTTTGCGCCATTCATGACAAGTTGCATTTTCTCCTTCTGAACTGGCATAATTTACTTGAATGAATGGGAGATGGGCCCAATATCCTTGGCATGCCAAACATGAGTACATCCACCTGATCTTTCATCTCTTTCCTCTGTCTTGCCATTTCTTTGTGGGTCCGTCTAGTTATTTATGAATTCGTATTATGCCTTTCCTGGCAACTAGATACAAACGTGCTCTATGATAAAAGAGTATATGTATTCACATAGCAAGTCAGTCAAACATCCAGTAAATGCATTTGCTGAAATGGAAAGCTTGGTTGGTTTTAAGTTTGATTACTTTTTTTAGGGGGGGGGAGAAGCAGTGTGAGAGCTCAACATTTCATGAAGACAGCCTATTTGGTTAGTTTTGTATAAAAGTCAAAATATGTTCATTCAGTACCCACATTGTGTGTCACACAAACCCAGTCAGAGGCATTACAAGAACACGGTAAATGTGATCAGATCTGAGACTGATCACTCGCACCTAATAACCCTTAAGTGACTATCCATGTGTAAACCAGCAATTGAATATGGAAAATCTTGGCAGATTTCTACTTTGTCTGCATCTCATGGGCAATACTTACCCCAAAATCTTGTCACTTCATTTCATCAGGTGATCCTTTCTTTCTCCTCCAATAAAACATTAAAGATTTCTCGCTCCCCCATTTAACTAGGGTCCTCATTCATTGTTGTTAACAGTGAGAAAAAAATATATTTCCCAGTCAGCCAGTGACCTTGCTTGGCCCGAGCTTTCTTCATTACAAAACACATGAAAAATGACCTTGCTACCACTTCCTGTTCTTAACTATCTCTCAAACTAGCATTAAAACTATTGCTCAAAAGTTCAGGTGGGGTAGCTACCATAGCCTTCTAAAAACAGCCCATAGTTTAACTCAGTGGTTCTCAACCTTTTTAATGCCGCGACCCCAACCGGTCGTAAGTCGAGGACTAACCCGGTCGTAAGTCGAGGACTAACCCGGTCGTAAGTCGAGGACTACCCAACCGGTCGTAAGTCGAGGACTTTCCCTGCCCGGGAGTGCCACGCATGCGTGGTTCCGCCCCCTGCGCCGGCCAAGGGGTAGCTGGCAAGCGGCAGAGATGGAGCAGGCCGACCACCAGCTGGCCCAGCCCAAGGGAGGTAAGGCACCCGCCAGAAAAGGGGGGAAAAATGGTGGACAAAAAAATGGCGAACAGCCTTGCTTGGCGACCCCCATGAAATGGTCGATCGACCCCAAATGGGGTCCCGACCCACAGGTTGAGAACCACTGGTTTAACTGTCCAGCTCTCTTCCTCCTTCTCCTCCTCCTCCTCCTCCTCCTTCTCCTACATGGCCACCAGAAAGCAAGATCCTGGAGAACAGGCTACTCAAGTTAAGAAACAGTACAACGGGGTCAATGTGGTGGTTAATGGTGATGCTCCTCCCTTTGGAGATCCAGATATTTTATATTGTCTACTTAACAAACATTTGAAATCAGTAGGCAACTCATCCCGTAACCAATTTAAATATACTGTTGTAGGAATCCCGCCATAGACTGCAACATAGGAATGTGATTGGCAAACTCTTGCAAAAAGTGGGGAGGTTCTGAGAAAAACTACTTAGGAGCTTTTCTTGGCAGCATGCATTAAGTACAGAGAACATGGAGATAGCTTGACATGGTATCAGATAAAGTGTTTAGTGTAGCCTGCCTGAATTGGGTTTCTTCCAGGCAGCCATTCTGTCTGGGAATTCTGGGAGTTGTAGTTAAGTACAACTGAGAGTGTCAGGTTGAGGAAAGGACTTTTAGTACACAGAAGCAAGCTGTGCTGTTATTACAATGGCTGAAAATCAGCCTGAGGAAAAAGAATGGTAGCCAGGAGAAAACAGTCACCCACAATGCCATCTCGGGGACATAAAGCAGAGACAACGAAGTCTGCTGGCCTGGAGGATCACAAAAACTGGAATGAAGTGGATCCAGTTCTGCTTCAAAGCCTTTGTAAGGAAGATATAAATGCCATTTTGAGTGTTCTGGGGAGAAAACATGAGTGTTAAATGACAATATCTGTAGCATTTATCATTAGTTACTATTTGTGGTTGATTATCATGCTGCCTGTCACCGATAGTGATTTTCACAATAGGAGGTGTGGGGTTATCTATCACACATCTGCCATCTGTTTTAATATATATGAAGCCACTGATTGGCCCCTGTGGCACATTTCCTTTTTAGATGCCCAAAGGGAATGGCTAAGAAAAGCACCGTTTTCTGAGAACACTCCTCAACAGGTCTGGAAGTGTGGGGAAAAAAATGTATTTTTTTGGCCTCTGAAATAGTCCCCGACTAGCACTTTCACAAGAGTATTAAGGAACTTTGTATACTTAGGAGGTCCTCCTTTTTTCACAGTATCTTAACACTTGTTTGGGGCAGGGGCTATCAAAGAAAGGGAAGAAAAAGAACAAAGCCTTTGTGAAGTCCTCTTCAAATGAGTAGAAGGAGCTGCATTTTCTGCTGTGCTGATCACTCCCTTGTGTGATTTCTCCCCTTCTGAAAGCAATATGTAAATATTTAGAACGTAGGACTTGTTTCCATTTCTGTCTCCCCGAGTGAACAAGTTCACTGAGGATCAAATCCTACGCCTTCCACCTTCACAGAGCGGGCTGGCCTCAGCCCAAAGTAAGCTTGTTTAAAAGTTCCATTGTTTTCCATGGGTGAATTATTGGCTGTATTTTCTGGAACACAGAAATACTTATTAGCCATCTTAGTTTCACTGACTTCACAGACTACCAAGCAGTACATACTTATTCTTTACGGGTTTTTTTCAATTTTTTCAATTAATTTTCTATTATTACATTTGATTAGTGCTTAATAAACATCATGTTGTCTGGGTTAATTTGTTACAAGTTACATTCTTAGTCTCTGCCTCTTTTTTCCAACCATTGATAAAATAAATTCCATGTTTGAAAATATTCTGTATCTTCTTATTCCTTATGTTTTGTGTGTATATGTGTATATATGTATGTATACACACACACTGTCTCTTCTCTCTCTCTCTCTCTCTCTCTCTCTCTCTCTCTCTCTCTCTCTCTCTCACACACACACACACACACACACACACATACACACAAAGCACACACACAAAGCACACACACACACAGAGAGAGAATATTGAGGCACACAAACTATTTAACTTACAATGCTGTCTTTGCAAATAATGGGCAACCTAACAAACTGCACTTTCTCTGACCTGGTTGGGCTATATATCATAAAATTCCAGTGAAATGTATTTATTTATTACACTTGATTGGCGAAGCTCTGAACAGCTGACATATGGCTCCCAGACGGCCTTTGCAGCCAAACTAGCTCACTGGGAATAAACCATTTCTGCATATGCACTTTCTGATGTCACAACTGAAAATACTGCATTTCTTGGAATGTTTCAGTTGTGGAAACTATTAACACAAAGACAAGTACTCTTTTTTTAATGCATTATTAAATGTTTGGAGGCAAAAATAATCTTTTTAGTATGTGAAAAATTTTTTGCAAAGAAATGGGGGTGCCATTTGGAGCATGATCAAGCTATCAGTGAGAAGGAAAAATTATGTGCAGAAAGGTATTATGATTCTAAGCTACTAGCTGCATTTCTTTGAAACTACAAATTGCAGTAAGCTTTGGGTTTTTTTTTAATGATGATGTATCAACCAAATTACAGTTGGCTGACTTTGCACATTGTGCAAAGTCAAAACAATTTGAAACTCAAGCAATTAAGCTTAGCATAACCACTTCATCCTATTTTGGGTTTGTCCCTAACTAGGTGCCCTCCTAGGTGAGCTTCATTCGTATGACCCTCAGCCAACCTAGAGGGCACCACCTCATCTGGAGCTACAGAATAGCCTTAAGGCCAGTCATGCTCAGTATTCAAATGCCAAGGGATTCTGAGGGCCTCGGGATGTTTTTCATTAGGAATTTTAAAATCAACATTTTCCCGTCCCGTCTGTGAATGCTGGCAGGTAATTCTGCAATAAGGACAGTTCTCCTTGGGATATCATGTTGCTCGCTCAGTATCATGCAGTTTTCACTGCT